GAGGACCTGCTGCGGCGGGAGGGAGTCACCTTCTGCGTTAATGTCACCAGGCAGCAGCCCTTCCCCAGCCTGCCGCAGGTGCGGGGCGTACGCGTGCCCGTGTTGGACGATCCGGCTGAAGACCTGTATCGGTACTTCGGGCAGTGCGGCGACGCTATAGAAGAGGCTGTGAGGAGCGGTGGGAAGTGCTTAGTTTACTGTAAAAATGGCCGCAGCCGATCAGCCGCCATTTGCACGGCTTACCTGATGAGACACAGAAAGCTCACACTGAAGGATGCCTTTGAGGTATTGTACTTACACCCAGATTTATATTTAGACGTCTTTTGGGTAGGAAATGCAATGCTTATAATGAATAATGATGGTTTCTATTTCTAATTAAATAGAATTATTTTGGCGCTCTCGCTTGTTTGTTCACAGTTTTGTAGACACTCAGCCTTTGAATAAAATTCCACTGTAAGTTTTTTCAGCCCCCTACTTGGACAAATAAGTTTTTGACATGAGGTTTCTGGGACAAATATAATTACAAATGCAAATAGGCTTTAAGCACTGGTAGCAAAATAAGCCAAGTTGGTTGTTTTGTGAACGTTTTCCCTATAATTTGCTTGTCATGATGTGTGAAATTAAGAGACACAGACTCAAAGCCAATAAGTCAAAAGGAAACAAGTACGTGCAGAAGTTATTTGGCAGGATTTGCTCTTACTACCTATGTGACAGCTCAACAGAGCAAAGAAACATCATCTGTTAGGTCGACTAGAGGGCTAGGGACTAACTTCATTAGGACACCTGTCCAACACATGCGACACGTGCTCTGCAGTCTTTTAGTCATCACCCGTTCGGTAGGTATGTCACTAAAGTCTCGAGACACGGTTTTGCTCAGTATTAGACAGAGGCATGCAGATACATGACCAAGTTTCACTCTGTCTTAAAGGTGAGCAGTGTCACCACACTTGGAGAGAGACATGCACATTTCCAGCAAAGTCAACAGCTCTTTTTTCATGTCTCACCCATCAATCTGTTCTATAACTCAGACCATAGGCCAGGAGGCCTTAGCAAGAACAGTGTGAGGTCAGCTCACCAAAATATCTGTTTGGTTTTGATTTTGCTGTGGAATAACGAAGTAAATCTTCTCAAAAGTCAAAGAGGAAGAAATCCCTTTTCATGATACCTTCCCTTGCTTCTACAACATTTCTCTTTTTTTTTCCTAGACTGTGAAGGCTGCCAGACCAGTAGCAGAACCCAATGCAGGGTTTTGGTCTCAGCTGCAGAGATATGAAGAAGATTTGCAGATACCAAAGCAGTCTGATCTGCTGAGCAAAGGACTTAAAAATAGCAATGTGTGAAGATATTTTAGAGAGACTTAAGTGGCTTGCTACAGATTTAAAAAAAAAAAAAAAAATCAACACTTCATATATCACCTATACATAAAATGCCTTCCTCCCCAGTCTGTATTGATGGTTGAAGATACATGGGAAAGGGGCAGATAAGCAGAGGAGAAACAACAGAAACAGAAAATGATTGGAAGGACTGCCAACAAATCAGTGGAAGTCGTGGTATCTTCAGCATTTACTTGCACTGAATGACACTGAATACAATAACAATGTATTGAATTAATGAATGAGTTACTATATAAGGATTTTACTCTTGGTTTTTAATTAAACTTTCCAGTGATGTCACTAGAAGATCTGATGCCAGACCAAGAAAGTTCTGAATTTGTCTCTTCCCTGGATGATAATTCATGTTCATGAGCCGATACACCCTTTGGTAGGAAACCAATGCTGGAACTGTTTAGTCACTGCCTGCGCTCTGCAGTTTCCTTATGTTCAACTAGACCAAAATAGCATCACAAAATTGTCTAAAAATCCAGAGGACAGATGCTGGTGAGAAGTTCAGCTCTCACCATGCAAGTTAAGTGCCTTTTCGGCTTTTGATGTTACTCTTCAAAATGCCAAAGGGATGATTTTTAAAAGAGTAGTTGATAGTGGAGGGAAAAAGATGACATAAGCAATCTAAAAGTAATCCTCACTCCTTCTAACTCTCCTTACTAAGCCTAACAACATCTATCAGTGCCCAATTCACGCCTTAATGTGTCAGTTGTACCTGTACGCAAGCAACATGGCTAAATCATTTGTGCTAAGACTGCTTGCACATTGCCCCGTGAAATTATCTATTGTGATATCAAGGAAGCTGCATGAAGCTTCTAAATCAGGCTACAATTATGTTTATAATAAGAGGTTATAAGTAGAGAAAAACACAAAGGTATTTTGTCAAACTGTATCAATACATTTGTAATTTAAAAGGGACAAGTTATGAAACCTGTGCATCTGCAGTGTTCCACTTCCATTCCATGTTGCTCAAAGCATCAAAATAAAGTTAGCTCATCATCATCTGTCCAAGTGCTTACACAAGGCAAATACATGCTCCAAGCAGTGGAATAGTTTAAGGCAGAAATTCTGATGATGGAACCATGATGGAGAATAAAGCTACCGAGGAGTTATATAAATTACACAATTAAGATGCAGTAAAGTTCCCAAAGTTAAAGATTGCTCAGAATAAAATAAGATTCTTTTAAAAGCTGAAGACATAGAAATAGAAATAAAAAAGTAAGGCTATCATCATCTTTGTTATCACAAGGAATTTTCACACCAGATTCTGTCTCCACTTCCAGCTGTGTTTGGTTCATTCTGTATCATTTCTCTTTGGTATCTGCATTACAACCAAAAAGAAACTTGTTGCACATCTGCAGATTTGGAGGTGAGTGGTTGTGATGGAATTTTTTGTAGCTTTTCTAAATCTTGATCATCATACATAATATGAATTTCAGTATAACATGAGACTTCTTCAAGCCTACAGTATATAGACTATATCCTCATTAATGGCCAGGTTACCACTCCTCAGAAAACCACTTTCAGTCAGTCTGTGGAATAAAGTTTATTTCCTGTCAAAAGCTAAAGGTGCCAAACAAAAGTAGGAAGCTAAACATTAATGAAAACACAATACATTTCTAACTGTGAAGCGTATTAACTTGCAGTCAGCTACAGCATATCAGTTTGGCATTTCTGAGTCATCTGAAACAGAAACAGTTGCTCTTGATCGTCACCATACACCGCGCTCCGTGGTTAAATTTTACCAGGCTTCTCAGCATGCGGGAAACCTCCGTGCCGCAGGATTTCACATCACAGCATTTTCCGTAGAAATCTATTTGCATTTGAAAACCATTCCCGGAAAACCATTCCTATTTACATTGAAAACCATACCTCCTGCTCCTTGTACTGCTGAAAGATTGCAACTTGGAACTGGAACTCTGAAAGTAGTTCACTTCTTTATTTGAGTTCATACCCTGCTAGCGTTACAAGTGATGTAAAAGGTAAGTTTAGACGTACTCCTTGTTGCTTGTGTCCGTCTCAGAGTTTTTGGTGTAAATGCGCGGCCGATGAGATGCCTGGCCTGCCGAATATGCGTATTTGTTGCAACTGTAAGTAAAGAAAAAAAAGATGCAAAATAATAGGTATTACACACGTCCACATAGTCACATACTCATTTGGGTCTGTATCCAACCCACCGATAGCACATTCTTCACAAAGGTGCAGAAATCAGACACCTGCTGTTCTCATCAGTCTTGTGGCTAAGGGGAAGGAGATGGGCTCTTTGACAGGCAGCACAGCCATCTCTCTTGTAACCAGAAACACACTCTAGGTTCCTAACTCACCTGTGCTCTTCCTCTAGGCATTTTAGTCAAGTCCCTAAAACAAAAGAGAACCTAGACCTTAATGCCTTTGTGCAAGCTGCAGTTTTTAATACAGGAATCAAGATTATACGAAAGGAAAACAGAAGTATCTTCTGCCAACCCCTTCAGCTGTCAATTCATCATGTTGAACTTCTGTTTCATACATTGGTTTCACCTGATTTTCATCATATTTCAGGATATATGGTACTTTGTATCAAAGCATGATGAGCAAGATCTAAAGCACAATGTGGCTAATGAAAGATTATCATAAAACTTAAATGGCTTCAGATTAGGCAATGGAGCATTGGAGGAACACTTTCACTTATTATGTGTTTTGACATAGCTTTCCTAAGATGAAATATGGCAGCCATGAGAATGCTTCTTCCTTCCATGTTATCATCCTCTCAAGCTTAGCCAGTTCAGCCTCCAAGCCATTTGGGTTCTTCTGGGTACACATGAACCTCTGCTATTTCTGATAATTTCATCCCTATCCTTCCGAAAGAGACCTTCTGTATGTGTGAATACTTTAAGATTGGAAAAAAAAAAAAAAAATCCAGGCAAGGTTTGAGACCAGAAATCACAGCTTTTCTTACTCAGTGTGCAACAAGACATTTCCATAAGGAACAAGAAAAAACTAATCATACATGCCTAATGATCAATTGGATATGCTGTGGAAAGGAAATGCCATTACACCTTCTGCAAATTAAATGGCATTTGAATGTTTTAATAGTAGTGAGTATTGCAGAGAAACTTAATTATAATACACTATAATGTTTGATACACTTTTTTCTTTTGGCAATAGACAGTTCACTCTTCCACTGCACATTGTCATCATGTTGATCTTCTTAGAACCATCAGCAGTACCCAGAATTACCAAATACTAGTTATAGGTGGCTGCTGATGGCAAAGTATCAACAAGTACTGGGATATCTATCTACTATCTGGGAGATACTACACTATCTGGGAGGTACAAGTATTCAGTACAGCATCCCCTGCCACCACAAGCCTGTGACATGCCATAGCACTGAATTAACAGGTACAATTTCCTAGTTGTACTCTATATGGCTACAGATTCATACCTGGGGTGAGTGAGAGAAAATACCATACAGATAGAAAACGGCGTATAACTGAGAGCTACTATTTCAACTGACAAACCCAAGATTACCTGTAATCCTGGTTTTTCTTCCGTTTGCATGAACAGGTCAGTAAGATCCCACCAAGCATATAAAGAATAGATCCAGCCCAGCCTAAGTATAGACCATCTCCTAGTTCATACCTGAAACATGAAAGATTTTATGGAAACAGCACATAACAGGATCACGAAGCTATTATTTTCGACGGAGCCATAGGGTGCACAAATCACGCAAACAAACAAATTCTAGTCTGCGTAGAAAGCAGTTAACTGAAAGGTGCTTCAACAGATAACAGAGGAGAACAGATCTGGCTTTGTGTCTGTTCAGTAAAACTCTCATATGTATATTTAAGTGCTCTGCCACATTAGTGACAGTCCAGAAAGTACTAAGCAACATAAAGATAAGTAGCAACAAATACTTGCATATATCTAATAAATTGTTGTTAATAAATGATAATAATATGTCTTCTGTGCAGTCCACAACACTTATTTTGCCCTTCTAGTAGCTGTACCACTCAGGTCATTTTGTGAAACTAAATGATTCGGACCTTACTGTCTGAGTCAAGAGAACAGGCTATCCACAGAAACCAGCTTTCTATGGACACAATGCTTGATCACCTACAAGTAGCTATTTGTATAGAGCTAGTCTTAAAACTTAAGTATCCTAAAGAATATTCAACACTCTCTGAGGTTATATGGCTGAAATACATTTATGAATAGTCCCAGGTTGAAAAAGAATAGTTCTCCATTTTACTGTACAAAACTACATCCTTCAGAAAACCCCCCAGTCCAGTCCAAGAAATTCACTGATAATGAATTTGAGCCAAAGGCTAGACATGACTGAGCCTGGGAAAGTCTGGCAGGAGTTTCGCAAAAAAGAGGAAAACAAGTTTTTATATTTGGACAAAGACTATATACATGATACAGCTGTACCTCTGTGGGCTGAGATACCTAATATAAGGGTAAAATCAGTTTTCATGGACTGCGTAGAAGGTATACTGAAACCAGATACATGTGCTTTCTTTCCATTTGTAAATACAAAATCATCATTTAAAAGTATTGAAGTTCCTGACTCCAGAATTATTTGCTAACAGGAAGGTTTCAGAGGTTTACACAGGTTCACTGCTCTCCATGTTCTCACCGGAGCTGCAAGGTTGCCACTGTTTTAGGCACTCTCCAGACATGGAACAAGACAATCATTATCTCAAAAAAAACCAGGAGTGCAAGTTGCTGGAGCAATGCTAAGGAACAATCAGAGAGTGTTGCCCAGTGCACACAATTGTCTCTGCTTACTAGTCACCCATAGAGGGGAATGTTGTAGACATCATACCAAAGGAAAGTATAGAGGAGGGATTGGCAGGAGAACTTAGGTTGCCTTCACAGCTGTATGAGAAATTCATCTAAGAATTTACTTTACTATTTTGCTGAAGTCAGGCCAAAAAAAAACCCCTACAATCTGAAAAGCCAAATTTGCCAGTCTCTTAAGAGTGAAAATCAATACTGGCCTGGAATTGAATTTAAACCTGTCTCACAGCATCCAAGGAGCACAAACTTCCTCAAGAGCATGTCTGGCTTTACCAATGATCAAAGTTAATTCATTAGGAACTGCTTAGTGAATTGATAGTCTTAAACATGACGTTTAGATATTAAAAAAAAAAAAATTCTTTAGCTACTGAATGCAAACAATCTGGTAACTGATTAACATACATAGATGTTGAAGCCCCAAAGCTATACCAGATAACTATAATACTCACTAACTATCCCCCTAACTGAAATTCCTTATCAACAGTTGTTTCGGGCCTCTAACGTATTTATTACCCTTCATATCATTCTCTCAAGGGGATATAAAACAACAAAAAGTATTCACAAGTGCAATTTCTGTGTAAGTGCTTGTTTGAAAACACAAGGAAAATTGACAAACATCCAAAGCAATTGCCTAAAGTACTTTGATTCATAACAAAGCACTTCACTTCTGACTTCCCTGAACTAATTCTCAGGTGGAAACTTACAAAACACTTCGAATATGATCCTAGCAACTAAATATTTATGGTTTACTGAGCTAAACATTATATACTTGCTAGAGATACTGGCAAATTATAAATGTCCGCTTTTCCCCAAACCAGCTTTCTCATGTTCCATAGACAATATATTATGTTTCCCTCCCACTTTTTCCCCCTCTCTGAAGGAGAGGCCCGGTCACCTCCACCCTTGTTCCTCATTGCTAAATCTATTGACATAGATAAGGTGCCATTGAAGACTGTTTCTTTTATATCAGGCAAGAATAAGGGCTTTTATACCTTGAAACTTGTTTGTGCGCAACTAGATGAGCTGATAGTCCCACAAACTTTGCCTTGTTTTAATTCATAAGGCAAACAAATGTTGAGCTGTTACTATATAGTGAAAAATATTTTTGTACGTCTCTAAGACAAGCAGCATTCTTCAATGACATCTCAGCTATCTGCAGGTCACTAGTACACAGTTTAAGCTGATTTCTGTAGGTTTTTGCATTTGCTTGTACATCTGAGGCATTGTATTCTAGCCATAGCTAGAATTTTGTACCTCTCCAAGGCTAAATGCTGAAGAAAATTAAGACTTTTACCTTTTCTTCATCATAACATAGAGATATGCGCTTAATTGAGTCTCACAAGAAAATGGACACACAGTACAGAAACCCCTCAGATGTGGGGGTTGATATTCCCCACACATTCACTAAACCTTCCAGAGGAGAACTCTCTTCCCTCCCCATCAACACCGCTGATGTGAAAAGATTCCCTGAAGACAAATTTTTCCTCCTGTAGGACTGGATAACGGGATCCATCCAGGTTCTGAAACTCTGGAGCATCTGAGGTTAGTGCAGCTGTCTGTAACACATGATGGACTTTGGTATGACAGATCTATTAACTTACTTGGTTCCAGCATACAATGGGTCAAAAAACTGAGTAGTAACCATCGCAGCATACCAAGAAACAGCCACCATGGAGCAGAGACCTACCAGAAAAAGTTTAAAAAGCACACAGGTGAATGATGCCTTTAATGGCTGTAGCAGCTTTAAACCAAGAACAAGTGTTCATTTCATTTAGTCTGGCTGGAAAAGCAATACCAAGTATCGACAGCGTTCTCATTTCAGCCTCAATATTACCTCCGAAAATAAAGAGAAATCCTCCCGTGACAGTTAACTTCATTTTTACATCTTCATCACTGAAGCCGATCTTTGTGCACTTCAAACCAAGCAGCGATAGAACTGTAGATATGAATCCCAAAAGGATGGAAGTAATCATCAAGGCACGGCATGCTTGAATATAAGCTAAGACAGAAAAGAGAAAAACATCAGGATACATACAGAAATCAAATTAATCTTGTGCTGAAAAAAAAAAAAATTATTAGAGGAAATGACATAATTAACAGGAGTTGTAATAAGTGAATCTTGTACCACTTTGTTATTTGGTTCAGAGAAGCATCCAAACCCTACAGTGTTCAGCCTTTAAGTCAACCAGATTGATACAGTTTATAAGCTCAGTAAATCCTCTTGGGCCTTTAGTAAATCCAGAAAAATTACAGCAAGGGCTTCACAGCTTACATCTTTACGTCCTGTGGAAACCCATAGCAGTATATATGGTCATTTACAGAAGCAGAAATAAGTCTCCTACTCAAAAGGCCTGGTGACTTCCTTACACCTGTGCAGCTGAGCACACAGGACACTGCTGAACTCCAGGTCTTATCCAAGGTGTGCAGGGCTCTGGCACTACAGAGGAACTAGAAAAATGTGCCAGCTTTGGTACTTCAAGTGAGAGATGGGAAAGAAAGTGCTCGACTTAGCAGTGCACTTCAAACGCTGAGTGGGGGTAACAAACGAGAGATGAGCAGATCGAGAGCTGCAGCACTCCTCTCCTCCCTAAGACACACTCCTGCGGAAAGGACACAGCTGGTGTGGGCACATTAGGGAGTTTGGTATGCTGACGATTCTGCATCGCGTAAGCTCCCAGTCTTCACATTTAGGTATCGATTGCACAAAACCCGGGAGCAGATAATTAACCAGCCTAAGAAGGAAGGTCAGACAGAGACTTAGGACTCCTTGAAAATGGCACCCTGGATTCAGCAGGTTCCAGATCAAATGACACTTTGGCACCTTTGTTGTGAAATACACAAGTCAAGGTCTTGGCTGCTAACTTTGTTGGACTTGATGTCTTAAAGGTCTTTTCCAACCTAAATGATTCTATGATTCTAACCACACATGAAAAGGGTCTGAACTGGACAGCATCTGGAGAGCTGCATCGTTCATGCTAGCATTCAGGCTCTTGCTCCCTGATCACCCCCGTGTCCTGCATGGTAACCTGCTCTCTAGCTCTACAGAGGAGTGAGCCCAGAGCCCTCCAGATAACAAAAACCAGGCACAGAAACAGGAGGTAGAGAGATTCCGACTCAGACTCAGCGGACTGTATAGCTTTATATGCCCTAAGAGAACTGGTCCTGCAAGCTTGAGAGTTATCAAAGACAGTAGTAAGCAGTCATGAGATAAATACACTGAATTCAGAGATAACATTGTTGATTTTTTTTTTTAAGCACTGATTTCAAAATTTTCAAGGGAAAAAAAGCAATGAAAGTGAAAAGACCCTTAAAGTACCATTAACAATTCATGGTATTCAAGAAAATTTCAAAAATTTTCAAGACCCTTAAAGTACCATTAACAATTCATGGTTCTTGCCTGCAGAAGATACTGTTAGGACAAGCACTCAACTCTGATGCTGCTTTCTAGTTTGGGATCTTACACCACAGCAGCAGG